AACTTTATTCTCGTCGAACAGTGTCAAATACTAGTCAAAAAGAGCAAAAATGAATGTTGAGGATAGGAGTTCGACAGAAAGTGATTCACTAGACATTGAATTTCAAGTTGAAAATAGTTTCTTTTGAAAGAATATTTCAAATTACGTATTCCATAAAAAAATCTCGCTGGTATACCCGTATAAACAATAACCTCTAAGGAGAGGAGAAGTCATTCTTCATAGCAATAGGGCCTAATCGGAGCGATATTCGACAGTTATCGATAGAAAAAGTTTTCAATATTTTAAGGATTCTTATAGATTCTGGAAAAGAAAAAAATTCTGCGTCGAAGAAACCTGTTTTTGTTTAATTCAAATAGGATTTTCATGGACGTTCGTATCAAAAACTGGTTTTGGGGGCTTTCAGAAAGTGCTTCAGATCTTTCTTATTATCCGACTAATTGTTAGAAAAAACATGATATTTGTAATCAGCAAAACTGAGCTCTATCAAACTATAACGACATCTAAGAGAACGGCGACAAAATTTTTTTTTTAATCCCTGGGGGCCCTAGGCATGAAAAAATGAGTGGTTACAAAACGTAAAATAGACTTGTGAAAAATAATTAGAAATGAATGCCAATTCTGAGGATAATAAAAATAGACTGAGGCGTTTTGAGATACCAAGTCCATAATTTGGAACTCCACCTTTCTGAAATTAATAAATAAACTTACCATAATACACTTTTTAATATTGTCTATTCTTAGGAATATATATAAAATCTCGCTCAAATATTTCTTAATTAAAAATATATGTTCAAAGGCTTCCTTCTGGTTCTTAAAAACCGCAAACACTCATGAAATGTTTTGAAAATTAGAAGTTTTCTTTAGGTAGGATGTATATATCCCACCGGGACTCAAAGGGTTAAACTTTTTCATAAAAAGCCACCGCAGTCAAATAGAATCTTTGAGAAGAAAACATGGAGTTACATTGTTATGCATGAACGAGCAATACTAAGTACAGTTTCCACAAAAATAGACAAAAAGTTTTTTTGTTACTGGAGGAATTAATTCAAGTGTTGTTCATCTCTCAAGATAACCCGTCGCTGAATTAGTCGTAATTATCTTCAACTTTGTAACAACATAAAATAGGAACTTTGAAAAAATAGTATTAGAGAGAGAATATAGTCTACCTAGCAAAAATTTTCTTTTTCAAGAGATCGAAATAATCCTAGAACCTTATGAGTTTGCGAGTCGAAAACTTCTAATTAGAAAGATGTAAAAACTCATGCAATCGCTTGAAAAACTATAAAAGCGTGTGGTAGGTCTGCCACAGTCTGTACGAGAGCCAATGTAGAACGAATGTCTATCACTGAATGAGTGTGAGTTCATTGTATCCATTTCACCATTTATAGCTTTCCTAGACTCTGCATAAATAGCTTGTTAGCGGATTTCCAATGAAGCTAAAATGTGGAACTCACGTATATCTTTGAAACTTGTTATCCTGATGCCTAACTTTTAGACTTCGAAATAGCTTTTTTCCGAGTATTCATAAAGGCATTGATATATTACATAGAATATAAAGCCTTCCATGGACGGTTGCTGAGGTATGTAATGGTGACCTGTCTGTAATCGGGGGTATGCCTGTATTGGTGGGAGGTATGTCATGGGGGGTATGTCTGTAATGTTCTCTTTCCCGTTACTATATGTCTGTAATGGAGAGGGTGGGGAGAGGGCGGGGGGCAGCCGCAAAACCTCGAAATGAAAACTTACACTCACTATTTTCTTCGAAAATATACATGAGTTACACAAAACTAGATGAATCGATGTCTAACGAATATTGTCCATAGGGCTATCATGTTTTACTGAGAGGATCGTATAAAACGAAAAAAGTAGGATTCATCTATGTTTCTTCAGCAATATTTCTCGCCGAATCATTTCAATATTAATGTTATGGTGGGAAGGAGTCTCAAGAATGATTCAATTGGTCTGTGTAATGGTGGAATATGCATGTCATCTCGTGACGAAGTCAGATTAGTTCCATTACGTAAAATCAATCCAAACGTAGCAGAACTTATCTGCCATACATACATTTCCGATTTTCTGAAAAAAGTATCTCGATCATCTGCACAACGTAATGCTCATTACAATGGAACAATTAAAATGGTATATGAGAGCTGTCTCTACGACGTTATTGTTACTGGTAATCCAGATGTGAGTAAAAGTTAAGTGTCTTTTCCGAAAACAAAGGCATTTGTACATTACAGGCGGCTGGTAGTGGAGTTGAGTTATTGCTAGTGGAAGAACTGGTCACAGGCAGCGAGAGTACAGAATTATTTCACAAAAACGCCGTTTTAGGAGCACACAAAGCTCTAAGTATTTTCAGATTGGCCAACGAGCAATCAAAACGATTTGTTTCACGCATGATGAACTTTTGAATATAAACAGCAAAATATGAACTGATGACAGCATCTAAGTTCTTTGCTTTATTTTTGTTTTATGAAGCAACATATAAATAAATCAAAGACTATGCATGACCTTGAACTCATGAGGGTAGCACATGATCTTAGCGGTGACCAAAACAGGGTGATGGTGTGGGTACGGATGTGAGTACATGTGGATTACAGAATGACTCAAACTTACACACACACATATATCTTATCCAGGACAGAATTGCTATGATAAGTATTAATTCGTACGAAACCATCATTAGAATACTGTAGTAATACAAATGAAAATGATATGAGCAACAGATATAAGCAGGATTTTAATAGTAAAAACTCATTTATCGGAAGATCGAAAATATAACAATAATGTTTTGTAGTTCTTCAAAGAATGAATAATTTATTGGAAAAAAATTCTTACACTATGATCAAAAGTTTTTCTTTTCATAAAAGTATAATGGCTTTGATGAATGGAAGCGAAATTAGAAGGATTTATTAGTCAATTGGTCTCATCTACTTATGCAAACTGTTTAGATACTCTGGTAGAGAGTTTTAAGTTGAAAAGAAGAACAGTTGTATGCTCTAATCTATAATCTCGTATTATAGTATTTATTTGTTTCTTAGGAAAATCATGATATATTTTTCAACGAAATATTTGATAATGTTCTTAATTAAAATGATTTGTATTTTAGAAATGCTCTACTTGATGAAATATGACGAAACTCTAGTTTAAGTTCAACAGAACGTTTAAATAGTTATATCTGTTTTATTCAAGAGTGCATGACTATATTACGATTATGAATCATCTAGAATTCCAGGAACTTCTTAATATTGTTGACGAGTTTCTGAATAAGCTCATACTCTTCATGATTTATTAAGTTTTTCACTCTCAACTAAATGAAATAGAACAATACTATTTTCAAGATGAACGATATATTTGATTGTTAGGTTAGTAGGCGTTCAAGTTCAGTTATTTGATTTCGATGTTTCTTTTTATGGGGTCAGTAAATAAAAATTTCAGAAGAGGTTCATAAAAGATTTGAATCTGATCATTATCTTAGGGTGTGGGTGTGGGTGTGGGTGTGGGTGTGGGTGTGGATGTATGGGTGTGGATGCTAGTCTTCTCTCTAATCACATTCACACCCACATCCACACCCACATTACTTCGATCAATATTCCAATGATTATTCGATCAAACATGTATTAATAATTTAAATTAATATGCTGTGGATAGTTCATCTTATTTTAACGTATCAAGTTATATATTGGCTATGAATCCTATGTGACCAAGTCGTTTTGAATTAAATACAACTATACTTACGTTTGTATTGTAAAGGAGCTTTTCATTGAAGAATGGAAAGTTAATATCTCATATACGACATTTTATCAACAATGCACTGCAGCTTATTGTAATATATAGTTGCGAAATGACCCAGTTTTCTCTATATATTTACGAATATTTTAGGTACCTATGGTGGGATTAACTGTTACGCTGCAATTCATTTCTCCTTGCATAATCTATATTGTGTGGAAGATGAAGGAACACTTTAATCACAATATTGTAGTTCATGTCACATGTTCAACTATATATGTATTTATGTGAGTGCAGATATGAAGTTTTGTTTCCGTCACACGCCACTCCTGCTTGAATTTTATCAATGCATTTTTGCAGATTCAACATGCTTATATCTATTTGTCACCAAGTTTTTCATAACTGTTCAATATCGCAATGCGAAAGATGATTCCGAAAAATTTTTCAATTCTAGTCGATTTTGGCTTTTATCACAATGCTAAAATCTTGACTGAAAGCAAAATTACATATTGCCGAATAGGTTAGATAATAATAGAAAAACAGATAATAAGAATTTTATTTTCTTTAAATTTTCGTATATTCGAAATATATGTATCAAATTAGAGAAAAAAATCTCTCCACAAAAGAACATACAAATATCATAATTATGTTTGGCATTAAATATGTACTTAACTCGAAGCAAATATAATATTATTGATATTTTGTTCGATTTGCAACGAAAGCAGCTTATCATTCTTCAACACTTATCCACAAGTGTATTTCAACTTTATTGATATTACATGTAAAGTTTTTGTTTTCTTTAAATCGTGAAGAATTTTCAACAAACCATTCATATGTTATATTCGTGAACATCGATGGTTGAGGATAGACAAATGTGACCAATGACAAATGTTTCAATCTATCAATCAACAACAACATTGTTTCTTGATCACTGATTCCGATTTTTAAACGTTCGATTCGTGGAAATACGATACATATTTGTTCAGCATGAAATTTTATCTCCAATGTATCTATTGTCAACGAACGTATCGATTCAAATCTTGTTTCTGTCGATAGTTGAGTAAGTAACGATGTATTGACTAATGAAAAGGATTTCAGTTGAGGCAGTGCTAAGTATGGTAAAATTCTATCCAAACAAAGATCTTTGTCTGTTTGAAGTATTAGCGATGTTACATTAATGAAATGATGCATCAATGGACGAAGCGTTGGTAAATTGAGAATATCAACATATTGATCAAGACATAGATCCGATGATGTACACGATGGTGTATCATAATTCAGTAAATAAATAATATTCTTTGGTGCAAAACGAGGTACCGTAAAAAGGGAAGATGATGATTGAAGATCATCGTAAGCAACAAACCATCTTTTTTGTGTCAGCCAAAATGAGGATCGAAATGAATCGAGAATCTGCTTGTTCAATCTATCAGCGAGACAAAAATGAAAATCAAATGTTTGAAGATGTGATACTAAATATTTCCATTGATTTCCATCGATTATATCCTTAGCCTCTTCGATATCAATCTCTGAACTTTGAGACCAAACTTTCCATTGATCACCAACAACAAAATCCATTGGATCGTCTATACGAAGCTCGAAATGCATTAGACAAGGCATTTTCAATAAAAATTTATGCATTTTCTCCATCGTCAATCGGCCGTCTTATCGTTAAAATGAAAAGATAATATATGTTTTTTTTTTAAACTTAGCATTAGATTTATAAAGACTATCTTACATTGAATGCAAAGTGTCAATTGTCTTAAATGATTCATCATTGGTACTTTCCGAGACCAGTGAGTAGACATATTGAGAGATAAAGTGATATTCAAAGAATATAAATTGGTCATTTGACTCAATAAATATTCCAAATTATGACAATAACAATGTGTGATTGTTAAATATTTCATATTGTTCAGCGGTTCCATTAATGGGTAGTCACGTGTAATCAATTGTTTCAATCGAGGTAGTGTTGTTTCTACACTAGATCCGAAAAGACACCAATACGTGTCTGAAATGTGTGGTAAAGTTAACGATTGAAAATTATTAAGTCGACATAAAAGATTCAATTGTCTAAAAATACTCTGATTCGATGAAATAATTGAAAATGACCGAAGATTAATAAATTGTAGAATATCAAATTTTGAAAAAAACATTTCTGATTGATTTGGTGTATCATTATTTTCAACAAGTGTTATAGAGATAACTTGTTCTGGTCGAGTATGAAGACACATAAGATCAAATTGATGTTTAAGCATAGATGATAAACTGATCGAATACCGATCATAGCCAACAAGCACGTTGTCTATATATGAACTTAATCGAGCAAATCCATAGAATATTTCATGTGCCCATAGATAATGAAAAATATTATGAACTAATTCGACTGGAAATGAATCAAATAGACACGTAGACATTATTGCAATGAGGATAAAATTATAAAAAGACACTCGACTTGAATATAACAATCATTCAACGTTTAATAAAGTGTGGTGCGCAACATGCCTTTCACATGCGTCTTTTTTTTCTTTTTTTCGTTTCTATGATTCAATGACGATAAAAGCACGTGCAACGAAACTAAATGTGCACACTTAGTGTCCTCAGGCGTCTGTTTGACAATTTTTTTTTAATTTCTCATTAGCGATGGAAGAAAAAAAATCTTTCTTCGCATGAAATAGTTACTTTTGATGTTGAAACATTTTATGTTTATTCTTTTTTCTTTCGAAATTCGAAACCAATATTCACAGTTGGAAATTTCACAATATTTGAGTCTCATTGATAAAAATATTTTCGAGTCTGGCAAAAACAAATACTATTTCTTATAGAATAATATTAACGGTAAAATGTTCTACTTGAAAAGTAGTATATTCATTATCGGATAAAATATTTATTGTTGTTGGGAGCCACACTACTTGTAAAACTGCAGCATCCAATAGAATTCTTGAGACTACAGCGCACCTCAATTGGTTTCCCCTTGATATCCTTTTTTGTTTTTATTACTATACTTCTTTTATTTATTAGCCTACTATGTATAGTGAGAAAGCTCGGAACGCGCTGCATTTTTTGGCATGTTTACTTTAAACATCAAATGCAACTTAAAGTGTAAAAGATGCATTAGGAAAAAAACTCATTTTTTTCATGACAGGGTGTCCATAATATTGTAACGTTTTTTATTTCGCATATATCTCGGCTTTGGTAAATGATACAATCTTAAAATTTTTCCCAAAAGACGCGTCATGAAAAGCTCTACATACTTGTTCTAACGGTTTTTCTTATAGTCAAAATAAACAGTCTACATGAAAGAGTCACTATCCATCATATAGAAATTGTTTGAAGGACACTTTTGTTTTGCATATATCTCGACTTGAGAAAATAATAGCACATTGAATTGTTTTTAGACAGATGTGCAGCCGAAAGCTCTACAAAAGCTGTATGGATTACTTCCGTTGGCGAATTAGAATAGTGTTCGAAACATTTTCAATATGATGGGGAGGAACACTGTGATGCAGGTTGTTTATTTTGACTATAAGAAAAATTATTAAAACACGTAAAAAGAAGTCCAATCATACGATTTTTATAGAGCATTTCATGGCGCATCTTTTGGGAAAGATTTTAAGATTTTATCATTTACCGAAGCCGTGATATATGCGAAGTAAAAAATGTTACAACATTATGGACACCTGGTATTGTACTGAAAAAAGAATGTAACTTTTTTCTAATGCATCTTTGATACTTTAAGCGGCATGTGATGTTTAATGTAAATATAGCGAAAGATGTAGCGCATTCCGGGCTTTCTCGCTATATATAGTGGATTAATAAATAAAAAGAAGTAGAGTGATAAAAACAAAAAAAGATAACAAGGGGGGAAACCAATAGAGATGCGCTGTAGAATCAGACGGTCCCAAAACAATACCCATAACTAAAATTCTGATTTAGGTCAGTAAGATGAGAAGAAATACAATTCCGATTTCGATTTCTAAAAATTGAATTGGAAATCGTTCATCTTTTTATAATTAAAAAAAGCGATTCCTTGAAGCGATAAATACAAAAAACAAATAAAAAGAATCATTCTAATATCAAATATTCATGTGCAGCTCTTGATTCCATAAATGACTTCTAAAATAAATTCATCCCATAAATTTCTGTCTTTTTCATGGCTATTATTAATAGAAAAACCCATCTCATCTCCTAAAACTCATTTGAGCCTCTAAAGCAAAATAGAAAAAAGAATGAATAACTACCCACCAATCGTATAAGTGAAAAGCTACGTGTCTAGTATTTTGCATTACGAACATAATTCTATATAAGTGATAAATAAGACATCTGTTTCTTGAGAAATCATAGAAGAATAGTGGAAATATCGATGAAGTCAGTAATTAATGAAAATGTTAAGTGCTTGGTTCCATTCTCTTTGGCGCCTTTGGATTTTTTTATGACACTAATAATTTCTTGCAATTTTCTCGACTATGCCACCGGGAATCAAGTGCTTGACATTAATTAGTGTTTATCTCTAATCTAAAGCATGTCTATATTCTACGTTACGTGTAGAAAAAACACGAACTGAATAATCATGCAAAAAGGATTTATGTTTTACGTAGGGTGCGGGTGGGTCCACCCCACACACCAACACCCACATACCACACACCCCTACACCCACACCAAACTAAACTGTTGAAAACGGAAATACAAAATCAACTATTTAAATGAAATTTTATGGGCAAAATGTTGTGGGCACGCATTATGCCTCATAAATGTTTGTTTTCTTGAGTAACAATTGTTCAGAAAGAATAAACAATAAAGGACCCCGTCGGATAAGATCGTAAATCTGCCACCCCCTCCCCCTATGTTTCACTTTCAATAGGTTAGAAGGATAGAGCATGAAATTCTGCATATTTCAGTGTATTTATTTTGCTTTTTGTTGAATGCACAAAAAAAATTTTCAAAGACAAAAATATCTTGGGGGTATATCACTTTTCGGTATTTCGAACAATAACTATGATATCCATAACTTTTTCTTTTGTAAATCTAATATGAGAACTAATAGTGTAGATCAATGCAGTTTTTCATGCTCTGCAAAATGATATATTGATCATGTTTACTGAAATTTCTTTTTTAGACTATGCAGAGTCAAACAGGTACCATATGGTACCTCCTTCAAAATCTGCCCTGCACCTCAACGTGGTGAAGGAGTGAACATCTGAAGTAGGGAATTGCCCATTCAGGCTATATCATCAGTGATGAAGGCTCTGCCGAAGAATCACCAAGAGCGCTAAGCAAGGTGGGCAGGCTGAATGGGAACTCTGAAAAAAGGATGGCCAACGCAGGCAGTTAAAGCTTGGGCAGCAGCAAGTCTTTATAATACCAATCAAAAGATGATCATAGTACCACAGCTGACTGGTATATAGCAAAAGACTAGTATTCACTCAGGTGAAGAACGTCCTTTGCACTGCGAGATGGAAAGTCACAGGGAAGCTACCATCTTAACACTCCCAAACAGCATGGTGAACATGGAACAGTTATCATACCGGCTCGGACGTCGCCCGGGTCAACAAGGTCCGCGTCCCCTGTCGAGCAACCAGGACAGGGTCGAAAAATGGACGACTGGAAGAAACAACAAGATTACAACAACACCATCAACATCCATACAACTACGAAAGAAATTGAGAATTGGCACTTGGAATATCCGCAGCATGTTACAACTTGGCAAAATGCAAATTTTAGAACATGAAATGGACAGAATAAGGGTGGATATCTGCGGACTATCGAAGATCAGATGGGAAGGTCAAGGACATTTTTACACGTTGGGGGGTCACACTGTCATGTACTCAGGAAACAAAAAACGAGGGTTATACGGTGTAGCAATATGGATGAACAAGAAGATATCTCAAGCAATTATTAGCTATGAACCAATCAATGAACGCATAATGGTGGCACGGCTAAACGCAAGACCTAAGAACATCACACTGATTCAAGCGTATGCACCAACAACAACTGCTGAAGAAGTAGTCACAGAAGTATTTTACGAAGATTTGGAACGAGTAATCAAGAACATTCCCAAAGATGACATCACGATAATGATGGGAGACTTCAATGCAAAGGTCGGCAAACAAAACATAATCGGACCAACCATCGGTCCGTATGGACTAGGTGATGCAAATGATGCGGAAGAACGCTTTAGAGAATTTTGTGAAGAGCGTGAATTGGCATTGGTCAACACATGGTTAAAAAAGCACCCAAGGCGATTATACACATGGAGATCGCCCGACGGTCTTAGTAGAAACCAGATTGACTATATTGCGATCGATCAGAAATGGAAGACCAGCGCAATGGACTGCACAACCTATCCAGGTGCTGATTGTAACACGGACCATCATTTGCTTGTTGCAACAACAAGGATAAGGCAACGCAAGTTGCACATGAAGACAAACAGCCAAAACTAAACGTGGACGAGTTGAAAGAAGAAAAAGCAAAGGAATTTGCTGTTAAAGTGACAAACAGGTTTACCACGTTAGGTGAAATGAAAGAAGAAATAACACCAGACGCTTTATGGAAGACAATGAAAACGGTTTTGATGGAGACAGCCAGAAACACTATCGGCTACAAGACACCAGAGAAACAAAAATCATGGATAACAGCACAAACGATGGAATTGATAAAAGAAAAACGAACAATGAAACAAAAGGATCAAGCAAAATACAGAACCTTGAAGGCAGAAGTACAAAAGAAGTTACGTCAAGACAAGCAAAAGCAATTGGATGATTTGTGCAATGAACTAGAAATAGCGAACAGAAAAGGCAACACAAGAAAGCTTTTTCAAACAGCACAAACAATTAC